GTGCCTTAGTGTGGTCAACTCTCACTCAGCTATATCATACTTTTAGGAATGTTTGTTTATCTATTTAAGAAGAGGCAGTAGGTGGTTAAAACTAATGAATGACATTTTCAAATGCATTTATACAACACAGCATCAATTACTGTGTTTACCATAATATTGGACACATAGTATGTGTTGAACACATATACTTACTGCCATTGTTATTGTTATTATTGTTGTTTTTGTTGTTTGTACAATGTCTCTACTTGGTGTAGGATAGGCACGTTTTAGAGCTGTTCCTCAATGTATTATCAAGTACAGTTAATTATCTATAGGACTTCCTCACCCTTCGCTCCGATCTTTTCTCTGTGACACTACGGAATCACTGTGGTGCACTCATCCAAACAGAGAAAGGTCGGAGGGAGATTACGTTTTTTCTTTTTTTTTTTTTTTTTTTTTTTTTTTGGCAATTTTCTGGCTATGGCTAGGCAGTTCTGAAGCACCAATTACTAAATAGGGAATCTTTTCCCCATTGCTTGTTTTTTTTCCTGCCAGGATGGCTGTTTATCAGAAGGAAAGGAACTGTCAGAATTGGAGGAAGACATGTACCTGTTCATTCATCTTTGCCCCTTTCTGCCAATGCAGGATAACTAGTGAAAGAACATTATCAAGTGATTGCTTTTTAAATGACTTCAATCAGTGGTGCTTCCAATTAGATTGATATTTGTCATAACTATTTTACTGGCTCTTGGTAATCACAGAGTGAATTACTGCTATTACTCTCCAACATTACAATGAATCAGTTCACAAAAGCAATGACAAAGAAGAGCAGGCTGAGTGCAATGGCTCACACTTGTAATTCCAGCACTTTCGGGAACAATGGCAGGAGGATCACTTGAAAACAGAGTTCAGGACAAGCCTGGAAACATGGAGACCCTGTCTCCACAAACAAACAAACAAACAAACAAAAAAGCTAGGCATGGTGGCGTGTGCCTCTGTCCCAGCTACTCGGCAGGCTGAGGTGGGAGAATTGCCTGAACACAGGAGCTTGAGGCTGCAGTGAGCCATGATCATGCCACTTCATTCCATCCAGGGAGACTCAGTTTCATAGAAGACAAAAACAACCACCCTACACACACACACACACACACACACACACACACACACACACACCGTGAATTATTGGAGAGACTACTTTGCAACTAAAGAGTTATGCAATAAAGTGATGGTGTCCTAAAGAGGAGTATCCTAGTATTACTCTGTTTTTTTTTTTTTATTTCAACTTTTATTATTTTAGACATGGAGGTACATGTGCATATTTATTACATGAGAATCTTGTGTGAGGCTGAGGTTTGGGGTATGAATCCCATCACCCAGGTAATTAGCATAGGACCTGATAGGTACTTATTCAACCATCTCTCACCCTCCTTCCCCACTCTAGTAGATGGCAGCATCTCTTGTTCAAATATTTTTGTTTCTGTGTGCTCAATGTTTAGCTCACACTTATAAGTGAGAACATGCAGTTTTCTGTTCCTGTGTTAATTCACTTAGGATTATGTCCTCAAACTGCATCCATGCTGCTGCAAAGGACATTATTTCATTATTTTTTATGGTTGCATAATATTCCACATTTATACCTACCACACTTTATTTATGCAGTCTACCATTCGATATTTATGTACTACATTTTCTTTTTGCAGTCTGCCACTGATAGGCCCCTGGGTTGATTCCATGTCTTTGCTATTGTGAATAGCACAGCAATGAACATAAACCCACTGACAATGTTAGACAGTTACTTTGTTTTTAATTCATCATTAGTCTTCCAGATGCTCTCCAGACTTTCTCAGTTAAGAATGATTGCCTTCTTAGAACTCTGCTGTATTAACTCCAGATTATATAATTCTAATTTCAAATTAGAATTTGTTTTTGTGTTACAAAGCTTCCTAGGTTGGCATCACAGTTTCATTATTACTGGCTTTGTGTCCTTAGGTAAATCATTTAATCTTTCTCTGCCTATTTTTCTATTTTTTTTAATGGACATGATTATAATTGCATCTACAAAGCATTGAGAATAAAATAAAATAATTTATGATATTAATAATTAGTGTAGTGTCTGATGTATAGTAAGTGCTTGAAAGTGTTAGATACTGTTGTTGCAGTTATTAATTTGATTAGTAGTATGGGACATATTTCCTAGGATCTGTAAATCAGGCAAATATAAATTACCTATTTTTAGGTGTTAATAATACTTATTATGGTGAAAAATGACCTACTTTACAAATAAAAAACACAACGTTAATACTGGGTCCACCATAAAGTAATTATAATATCTGGAAATCATTGCAGCTCATCTGCATGACAATACACATTTTTTCTCAGAACTGAAGTAAGTTTCAAACTATGTTATACATACAATTTGGCATGTTTTATTTAGTAGCTTTCAGTACTCTGATCACACTTTTACTGATAGTCCAATTTTATTTACTCAGCTCCCTTTTAAGAGTGATTGAGAATATGTTATTATTCTAGTTTATAGCTGAGGACCTGAGACTCAGAATGAAGTTACATCACTAAACACAATGAAACAGGAATTAGAACCTAGATTTTCTTAAATCAAAAGAATAAACTCATTTATGTTGTGACTTTCTAAGCTACCTGAAAGAGTAAACCACCCAATATATTTTTCTGCCCCAATAGAATGACTTCTCTTGGGAATACATTCTAAAAATGTGTGTTGTTAGGCAATTTCATTCTCTTAAGAACATCGTATGGTGTACTTATGCACACCTTTATTGTATACCCTCCTATACTCCTAGGCTATGTGGTAAAGCTCATTGCTCCTAGGCTACAAACATGTGCAGCATATTACTGTACTGAAATATATAGGAAGTTGTAACACAATGCTATTTATATATCTAAAAATACCTGAACATAGAAAGTATACAATGAACATGTGATATTATAGTCTTATAAGACCACTGTCATGTAAGCGATCTGTTGTTGACTGAAACATCATGTGCCGTGTATGACTATATTAAGCAGGCATGGCTCTGCTTGGTCAGGACAGACACAGAAGAAAACAATAATAAGGGCATAAGATTTTCCACTGCATCTTAGTTAAGGAAGCGGTAAAGGGACTGAATTTTGAACCCAATAATATTGGTAAATTATTTAGTAATCTACTTAGAATAATTTCACTTCTTTTATCAATAAAATATTTAAGCCCCTACTACATACCTGTTTTGAATGTATTTTGTTATTCAGGGAACCAAGGAGTACAGCAGTGGAAAATAAAAGAAAAAAGAAATCCCCACCCTTATGGGGCTTCTTTGCCAACTGGAAGGAAAATAACAATTTTAAAAAGTCTGTTTGTCAAAGATGTTGTATGCTAGATGGTAATAAGTGATTTGAACCAAAATTAAGGAGGGAAAGAATAGAGTCAAGGTGTAAGTCACTTGTTAGTCTTTTTGAATACGAAAATGGTGGCCTGTTGATCTGACCTGAGAAAAAATGGCAGAAAGAGAAAAATTGGTGGTGGCAGGGAGCTCAGTTTGGGATATTCTAACTTTAAATAGTTTATTACCACTCTAAATGTGTATATCAAGTGAGAGTTGGCTGGGCTAAAATATAAATTTGTCAATTCCAGGTGTATAAATGGTATTTAAAGTCATAAACCTGAATTAGACCTTAATGGGAGTTAGTCTAATAGAAAATAGGAGATGGGGCCGGGCGCGGTGGCTCAAGCCTGTAATCCCAGCACTTTGGGAGGCCGAGGCGGGTGGATCACAAGGTCAAGAGATCGAGACCATCCTGGTCAACATGGTGAAACCCCGTCTCTACTAAAGCTACAAAAAATTAGCTGGGCATGGTGGTGCGGGCCTGTAATCCCAGCTACTCAGGAGGCTGAGGCAGGAGAATTGCCTGAACCCAGGAGGCGGAGGTTGCGGTGAGCCGAGATTGCGCCATTGCACTCCAGCCTGGGTAACAAGAGCGAAACTCCGTCTCAAAAAAAAAAAAAGAAAAAGAAAATAGGAGATGGTCAACAGATAAGCCATTATTATTACAAAAAGTTGGAAGGAAACTTCAGAGGAGACTAAGAAAGCTTGACCCATCGTGGGAGGAAGACTAGAGAGAATTTTGCTTTGGAAGACAAATGAAAAAAAAAGTGTCTTCATTGGAAATAAATATTAAATTATTGTAGTGTAAACTATAGCAGTGCTAACTAAATCTAATTTACTCCAGGATAGAGTAAGGAGCAATTGAAAATAATGTCTGAATGTGTATTATTTGAGTAAGGCAGGTGGTGATTAAAGAAAGTAAATACATGAGTGCACACACATGCACATGCAGATAAAACATTTTCCCTGCCTCAGAGAGCAAAGGCAGGGAGATAGAATTAGGAACACTGGTTATAAATCTCTTAATATATGACAAACAAAGGTCTGTGGGATTACAGATGAGGTAGAGATTAATTTTGATTGGCAGCTTCAGGGGGAAAAGGTCATATTTGAGCTGGGTATTAAAGAAGACTATGAGTTTGTAGATGAGAAATAGGAGTAGACAAAAGAATAATGACATTTAAAGTGGATAAGATAGAATGGAAAATGATATGCAGGCATGAAAAGTCACAGTATATTTAAATGGGGAATAAACTCATTTCACAAAAATAGACCGGGCAAAGGAAGCAGGGATAGATAGCACCAGATATACCTTTTTTCCCTTGTTAAAAATATTGCTCAACAATCCAGTAGAAAGGCAAATTTGATAAAGTGAGATTTTTCTCAGAACCAAATATTGTGATTACCATCATTTTGCAAAAAGCCTTTTATATTCTGGGAAAAGCCTCAAGCATGACATAATATAAAATGAATATACACTTGGATAAACATAGTGTAGAGAAATATAAATTATTCCCCGTAGGTTATTCCATTAGGTCAGTTTTAATTTCAAATAACTTTGCCTGGGCTATTTTCTAACTTCCTTAAATGTAATGCCATGTTTTAATTTTATCTCTTTTCTAGAAATGGTTCTCTTTATTGTGAGGCTGCAAGGTCACCCAATGAGAAAGGGGCCAAATAAGCTGAAACATCATCTAATACACTGAATGTACGTGAGTACAACATTAATAGCTTTAAACAAAAGTAGATAGAAATGTTGTTTCCTGTATGACTTATGCTGCCTTGGAGTAGTCCATGTTTGTGAATTAATATGGTCAATTGCTGGATACATGGCATAAGCCAAGCTCTCCCTGGTGAGCGTGGGGTTGCTGCACACACACGTGTCAGGGCTCCATTTCTCCTCTAAATTACAGTTTTGCCTGGAGTCAGTTTGTCTTTTGTAGCTGCTCTGCTTCTAGTAAAACACTGAAAGCCTGCTTTCCAAGTGCAGTTGCATGTATTTTCACTTATTCCACTTTCTGACTCCTACTGAACTCGTAATTTACCCTTCCTTTATCTTTCTCTATTGCCCTGGTCCATCAAACACTACACTTAGCTTTATTTGCCACTCAGAATCCAAAGTCAGTCACTGGGTTCTCTCCAACCCTCTAGTTCTCTGTGAAATCTATCCCCTGACATATTTTTCTTGCCAGCTGACCAGTTAATATTTATTTGTGTAATTGATTATTGGATGTACCTTTCACTAGATCAAATGTTCATGCAGGCAAGAATCATATCCGTTTAGTCATACCTCTTAGATATTCAACCGGACTATGCTGTCTGACCCCATCTAGTCATGAGTAGGATGTGACCACTTAAAATGTTCCAGCTCTTTGCGCATTTTTAAAAATCTCTATTCTCCTTCAGCTCAAACCTTGCCCTGACTTCTTTAATTTCAAATGAATTAGACTTCTGGTTTATAAAATGATGAGGCTATTTGATGTATACATCACTGAATGTTTCTTCTTTAGACCTTAAAATACCTCTCTGTTTTTACTTATTTATTTTCCAAAATAATCCCTCATATTAAATTTTAATTACAACACTTTCCTCACTTTACCAGTTTTACTGAATCAGTTATTCATATCTAAATTTGCATTTCTCCATTTCCCTGGTTCCTTCCACGCTGACTAAAACCAAACACATTTTTCTAATCCTGGAAACATCTAAACAACTAAAATCCAAACAAAACTATTCCCCCTCGTTTCACTCTTTTCGTATGTTTTTCCCCAAATAAGCCTCTCTTTACCCATCCAAACTTCTTGAAACAACTGTCAATATTCTTTCCCAATACATGGTAAATATAGGAGAAGGGACTATTTTTGTTTCATTGTGCAGTGTATTTCCAGCACCTAACATAGTATCTAAAATGGTAGGAGACCAATAACTAAACAAATAAATTTTAGCTCCCATCTCACTTATCTCACTTCCAGAGTGTTTAACACTCACTGTACCTGAGTGTTAAAATTTTGCTCTAAGGACTGCTTAAATTACTTTCACAAAGATAACCAATCATAACTCCCTCCTCTCTTATTCAATTTATAGCAATGCTTCAAATTCTTTTTTATATCCCATATCATAATCTATCCTAATTATTTTAACCATGTATATGTCTTATCACTTCTTCAGGGTCACACCCCCTTGAGATCAGGACACTTAACTTGGTTACTTCTTTTGCTTCCCTAACTCTTCACTAATAACTTATTGTTCAATTTTTTACTAGTGACTTTAATTAACAGACTTAAGTACTGAACACTAATAGAGGTAATTAATAGATTAGAGTACTCTGATATTACTGGGACAACTTTAGTACTACCTTTGATAAAATATTTTGCTCCTGAAATAAAACTGTAAAATATGGAATAGAATATCCTGTTATAAACCATTTCAAAATCATTGGAGGAAGAAACCAAAAACTTTATACCAAATGAATCATGACATTTATATATAGGCTTCATAATTATATATAATCAATTTTTTAAAAAATAATTAGAAGTATCTATGCATATGTATGCTACATCACACATACACACACACACACACACACACACACACACACACACACACACACACGCCTTTACTCTTGGCTACTTTAGTGTATTATGTGCCTGCGGTATATATAAATTAGGGCTGTATGATAAACATATTTATGCATGCGACCTTAGACATATACCACGCAAATAAGCCAAATAAAATATAACCCCATATAAGCTAACATTCTCACAAAAGAGACAACACAAAATCTGAGTTAAATTGTAAGACTGCAAATTATACATTCATAAGCAATAAGAACACATGTATGCACACATATCTAAAAAATTGATTGTGACCACTTGATCAATGAATAGTTATTGATTAAATTATTTATAAGAAAATAAAAGCCTTTTCTACTGTCTTTAAATTCCTAATGAATGTATACAATAGAAGGTAGAAAACCCTAAGCAACTGTTTTAGGAGTTTGAACAGAGATTTAATAGTTGTTCCACATTTCCCTTCCCTCTATCTTCATTTTCTGCAAACCCAAAATAGGTTTTCATTTAGTTGCTGTTTGATTCTTTTCTTCCACTAACTCATATGCATTAAAAGATTGAGTTGAGTGTATTTTCCCCAAGTCTGATATTCTAAAACTTATTTGGGACACAGTTTCTTGTAATTACCTATAGCTGCATTTACTGAAACCCACAGATTAAAGTTTTCCTACCATGCACCTTGCTCAGGCCTTTGGGAGACATTAGGGTCTATGGAAAGGAATCAGGAAACTCCAAACTGATTGGTGGCTTGAGGGCCAAATAATGTATTGTTTAATTAACTTTTCTGTTTTTCTATTACTCGTGACTTCATATAAACATAAATCATTTAAGAAATGTTTGGGGGATATTTATTTTATCTCCCAGTAAAAAGTTTTGAATGTAACCCATTTTCAGACTTAAAATATAACTTCTACTGCTTGTATGATGTTCACTCATGTGGATCACTGTTTATCATGGGGCATTTATAAAATCAAAATAATTAACAAAGTAGTAGTATTTTAAAAATCTAGACACAGTAACAATTCAGGATGAGCCATCAAGGCTTACAGAGAATCACTTTAATGTGGGAGGTCTGTCAGTCTCTAATTTGGTAAGCTGAATGATTCTGCAGTTTATGATCTTTGCCTTCTCTATAAATATTTGGCATGTACATTGGGTCAAACATTGAAACCATGTCCGCATGTGACGTATCAGATGCAGTCCACAAATTCTATTATATTCATTATATTTAGTTTTTCAGCTATCTCTCTTTTGTTTGCTTCTTTTTTTTTTTTTTCATTTTAAAACCATGAAACTAAAGCTTTATTAAGCTCTTACTATGTACAAGCATTATCTCATTTTATCCTCACAATGACCCCTCAAGTAGGCGTTACTGTCTCCAGTTTACATATAAGTATTAGCTGTACTGACCCTTCCTTTTAAGATTTAAAATACTTTAAGTTCTGGGGTACATGTGCAGAACATGCAGGATTGTTACGTAGGTACACACATGCCATTATGGTTTGCTGCCTCCATCCCCCCGTCACCTACATCAGCCATTTCTCCCAATGTTATCCCTCCCTACAGCCTCCTATCCCTCCCCTAGCCCCCCAACACACCCCAGTATATGATGTTCCCCTCCCTGTGTCCATGTGTTCTCATTGTTCGACATCCACCTATGAGTGAGAACATGTGGTGTTTGGTTTTCTGTTCTTGTGACAGTTGCTGAGAATGATGGTTTCCAGATTCATCTATGTATTTGCCTCTTTTTATGCTATCTTTCTGTTTTACTAAACTAAAACAGACTCCAGTCCCTTCTTTGGCCATTGGGAAGCCTCAGCATCAGTTAATAAGAAAGAAAAGGTGAAATTAGGGTGCCTACTCCCCACATTTATCGGTGTGTTCATCTCAGACTGGCTGGATTCCTCAGCTAAAGGTTTGGAATATTTCTTGGCTACCTTCTAGCCATGAAGCATACAGACACTGCCCACCCAAACAACTTCCTCCTTTGCTACCTTCTCTGCTAGAAGTGGTAACAACACTTTTTCTCTTACTAGGCCCGGGTCCTGCATTCTCATTTATGGCTCCCTAAACCCTGATTATATCTTTGTTAGGAACTTTCACTGAAATATCTTAATTTAAGCATGCAAGCTATTTTCTATCAGAAATCTGATTGGTAGAATTCTCATTGCTATTCCTAAATTAGCTTCATATTGATTATAATTTTGCAAAATTATGGCTAGTAGTGCTGAATATTAAATTAAATCTATTTAGGATGATAGACATGAATTACATGTCAACAGAGAAAAGGTCTTAGAAAAATAAGAAAAAAAACATTGCATTAGTAACATTTGCTCTTTGCTTTCATATGTTTACTTTAGACACTAAATTACATTTAAGAATTGAATAAGTAGAAGGTGGTGCTGTTTCTGGTGAACTTTTCCCTTTTATCTATGGATGGACAGCACTGAAGTTACAATGAATTTACCAGGACATCCAAACCACATTTTTCCCAATTTAATTTTTCGTATTAAAAAATGTTAGAGGTTAGCTGATTGATATGGCCAAGAGTTGCACTATTTTGTTTTTATTTATTTATTTTTATTTGTATACATTTAAGGGATACAAATGCAATTTTGTTACATGAATATATTGCATAGTGGTGAGGGCTGATCGCTTCACGGGTCTAGCACCTGAGTAAGTTAAACTCTTTTAGACCTTGATAAACTTTTAAACAAGTAAGGGATTAACGTGCCATGGATGGCCATCTTTGCCAAAATAAAGGCTGGCTGTGTTGGTATTGTTGGCATCTGGCAGGCCAAATGATTATTTTAATAATTTGCTTTTATTTTTGCCATTTTAAGGAGGAAGTGTCTAACACCAGTAGAATTAGACTTCTTCCATCTGTAAAGAATTCAAAAGAGAAACACGTTTTCTTATTTAACTACACAAATTAACCTCTGAATACTTTTAATATTTGTATGAAAGAGGCAGTTCTTGGTATTAAATTTAACCTTGTAAAATGGTATACAATTATGCACCAAAATGTTTCCACAGCATTTTAGTATTTTAAATTTGCTTGCTGATTTGAAATTATAAAACAAATTACAGATTTTTTATGAAGTAGTTGGGAAATTAAGAAAAACTAATTCTTATTAAG